CCCCAAAACCCCAAAACCCCAAAACCCCTCCAATCTCTTTCAGTGATTTTAAAGTGAAATATAGAATTTTAAAAAATTAGTAATTTATTATCAAGAAATGGATGCATCTTCTTCATCGGTTCTTGTTTTAATAGCTATGAACTTTGCATTTACTATCATTACTATGATAACCTTTGAAATCATAAGGAAATGCAGAGGGGATAGAAGAAAAAGATAAAAGACTTTTGTAAAAGAGATTAGACAAGCGGAAATTGGAGGTGATTTAACAGAGCCTCTGATAAATTAAGAAGATAGACTTCGTATAATTCTAATAATTTAGGATTAACTATTTCTTAGGCGAGCAAATTCATTATCAAATGAAAAGTGAAACATACAAATCAGAAGATGATCGATCTCAAATTAGTAAGAGGCTCCGCATATTTCACAGATGCAGCTGGATCGTCAACATTTGGAAAATTACTGATTTAGAAGTTAAAAACACTTGTGGAATAGATGCAGCTCTCTACCTGATTTACTTGAAGTATAGTGCTATCTTATTCTTTATTAGTAATTCCTTTTTTCTTTAAATCTCAAAATAGTTGCACTTTGCAGTAACATATTCCTGCTACCACTATTTATTACTTCTGAATAAAAACACATACATGTTAGATCAACTCTTGAGAAAATGACACTTATTAATGCATAAGATAGAAATGAAATGATTTGGATGGTATTTTTCTTTACGATACTCTATAGCATACTTGTACACATCTTTATAAGTGCTTTTGATAACCTCAGGAAAAATTTGTGCACAGAACCCCCAAAGGATGATAATTAATTAACTGAATAAGAAGTATCAATGCGCACACTACTGATAAGAGGCATCAATAAAAATATAAGTTAAAGAGAAGCAAAGTATAAGATTGAGCAAATATTCAAACAGATTCTTGATGATGATTTAATAAATGTTCATGTTGTGGCAGAAATGACAAATATCATTCAGATATTAAAAGAACTTGAAAGAACAGAGATGAAGAAAGATTACTATGATACTCTCTATAGGGAAGATGATGTAATTGTAAGATGAAAAAGAGGATATCTGTGTTTCAAGACTGATGGACCTCCTCTCAAAGATTACTATGCTTATAAGCTAATAAATATGAAGTAAAAATACTTAAATTATAAGAATCATTATGGCAAATCGAATTAAGGAGCTGCTTTTATTTCAGTAACTAAGCCATCTCTAATTTCAGACATCAGGAAAAAGATTGGTGAAATGAAAAAAGACATTAAAATAAATAACAAGCCTCTCTATTGTAAATTAGCAATTGAAGTACAAAATCTATATTTAACATTTTAGGATTGGAAATTTGAGTTTGCTCCTTGCCCCTCAGATATTTTTTGGGATAAGTTCAACAAAAAGTCTTCCTTGAGAATTTTCAAAATAATAATGATCAATCTAATGATATTCTTGTTCACAGTTGTACTTATTTCACCTATTTCTGTAAGTAATTATTCAAAGGCTTATGATTTTTATTTAGATTCTAAACTCTCTAGAGCCTTACATATATTCTATGCAAAATGAATAAAATGTCAATAGTTTCATAGGTACTCTCATAGCTCTGTCAATTTCACCGATAATACTTTTTATTTTCAACCAAGTATTCATTCCTAATTTGGTAGATTTGTCTACTTACTATGAGGAAATAGAGAATAAGTCCTAACGACATAGAAGTAATCTTTTTAAGTAGCTGGTATTTTTACTACTAAACACAGTATTCATGCCAATCACCCAAACAACAACAATTGAAAGTTTCCTGGTTCATGTAATAAAAGAAGACATATCTGATATTCAGCTAGAATTATCATCGAAATTTCTTAAGACTTCAGAGTTTTTCTTGAGATATATTATTTAGTGCACTTTTATGAACAACATCTTCTAACTTCTTGATGCTCCTCATCAGCTATACCTGTTATTTGTTAGATGTTGTAAGAAGAATAGACCTTATCTTAAATAAAATGGCAGGCTTGAGGATAATTGGTATTTCGATATCAGTTATCATTTTGCTTTCAGTATTACAGTGTTCATTATTATAATGATATTCTCAGCTTCAGTTCCATTGATTCCATTGTTTGGCTTTTTCTATTTCTCAATCAGATACTTCGTTGATAAATATAACTTCATGTTTGTGTACCAAACAGAATTTTAATCAACAGGAGTTTTAGGAAAAGGAATTATCAGATATACTGCTCTTGCTCTGATAATATTTCAAATTACTATGTGCGGATTATTCACATCAATTTTTGGATAAGATTTCTTGATATCCTCAGCAATACTTATTATAGGGGAAATCTTATTTATGATAACTTATAAGCTTTTGAAAATCAATGAGTTAAAGGATGCCTATTCAGAGGTTATTTATGGATCTGACTCAATGGACATAAATTCAGAGTTAATAGATGATTTTATTACTAAGATAAAGAAACCCCATGAAGAAAGGGCTATAACAAGTTTGATTCATAAATAAATTATAAAAGATGCTTATCTTCACCCTTATGAGGTTAATTAGAGAAGGGACAATATAATGAAATCTTTAAATGTATCCCTTAAAAATGACATTCAAAGAAGACTTACTTAGAGCATCGATCGTAATTAATCACTACCTAGGAAATTAACTTTCAAAAGAAATTTGGATTAATGATCAAATACTAATTATATTACTTTTAATAAATTTATGCAGCTGGGGTTTTGGGGTTTTGGGGAGATCGGAAGAGCGTCGTGTA